TAAAGCGCAGAACGTAGTAGTTACAACAATCAATACGAAACTAACGATTTCAAATTGGCTCACTACTTGACTAGCATATTGGTCCCAAGCAAATCGACTAACGTACCCCATTCTAGTATAAATTCCAGTACTACACTATGTTTGTTTTGATTCGCTATGAAAGTTTGACAGATAAAATGAGGGGTTAGTGGATTTTCCTATGTTTCGAGGGGTGAATCGATTAGCTTGGGACCGAAGATAGTACCAACAATCAATACGAAACTAACGATTTTAAATTGGCTCACCACTTTAGTAGCCTATTGGTCCCAAGCAAACGATTAACGTACCCTATTCTAGTCGAAATTCTAGTACTACGCAATGTTTGTTTTGATTCGCTATGAAAGTTTGACAGATAAAATGAGGGGTTATTGGTTTTTCCTATGTTTCGAGGGGTGATTCGACAAGCTTGGGACCGAAGAGAGTACCAGAGGTGAGCCAAAAAGTTCAGTGCCAACATTTCAAAGGGGCGTAATTGTATTTGTAAACAATGGCTTTAGCCGTCGATTTCTCGCGAATAAAAGCTCACTCATGAAAAATAATGACACCAGCAGGTAGAGGAATGTTTCCTTTACCAGCTAGTATTGTTATTTTGGAGAGGTAAGATTTCATTCGCGAGAAATTTACGGGTAAAGTCATTGTTTACAAAAGCAATTACGCCCCTTTGAAATGTTGGCACTGAGTTGAGCACGTTTCTTCGGGACCTACTTGTCTTAGGCCGTTCGCAATGCTGAGTTTCAAAATTGTTTTAAACGACTTGACAATTCTATAATTTGAAACTGTCAAAAATAAAACTGCAACACGATCAGCGCAACGGACAGTTCTAAAAGATGTTTGTAATCATCAAGTTCCATAAAATTTACTGTTCTCTATGAAGTTTATAGAGTTTTTTTGTGAAGCTCTTCGAAACATCTTTAAATACATACAGAAATTTGAAACAGAGTTCCATTCGTGTTTCAAACTCGCTCAGAAATAAAACAGAATAGTCGAGCAGTTGCAAATCTGGTGCAAAATAGTGCTCGAATAATGAAACTGCAACTCAGCATTGCGAGAGGTGCGTTTCTGTTCTAGTTTCAAATTGAAACAGTCCTTATAAAATACAACAGCATTGCGAACGGCCTTAGAGTTATCTCTATGATAGTACCAGAGCTGAGCCAACAAGTTGAGCTCGTTTCTTCGGGACCTTCTGATCTTAGAGTTACCTCTATGGTAGTTAGCCGTGATGTGATATTTTTGAGCGAAGACCGAATAATGCTGAGAGAAGCTGATCCTGTCGCACAGGCAACTCCTATCGAAATAGTTGTGCGGAACGAACAAGAGGATGCGGAGGAGGAACAGGGCGTTGACGAAGGTGTTCACGAATCACTAACGGATGACGACGAGCTCAGTGACAGAAACAAATCCGAGAATGGCGACAACGATGATACCATAGAGGTAACTCTAAGACTAGACGGTCCCGAAGAAACGTGCTCATCTTTTTGGTTCAGCTCTGGTACTCTCTGCGGTTCCAAGCTAATCGATGCACCCCTTGAAACATAGAAAAATCCACGAACCCCTCATTTTGTCTCTCAAACTTTCATAGCGAATCAAAACAAACATAGTGTAGTACTAGAATTTCGACTAGAATGGGATACGTTTATAGATTTGCTTGGGACCAATAGGCTAGTCAAGCAGTGAGCCAATACTTTGATTGATGCGGATCAACAACCTGCTGCGCTCCCTCCACAAACGGAGGACCCACAACAGTTGGTATGGCGCAGTGCGAGGGAGCGCGTAACTCCAGGCAAGTATCAAGATTTTCATTTGGGTTTCGGTATTCTTCCTCACGAAACTTCCCAAATTTCCCAGTTACCCGAGGTCCCGGACAATTTGAATGTCGAGCCACAGACGTTCCATGAAGCGATTACGAGCGATGAAAGCAACACGATGGAAGAACGCAATGGTTGAGGAGCAGCGTTACTCCCACTCGCTTCGCTATAAAAAATGTTTTTCGGAATCATTGGATGCTATTATGATAGTTTGTACTAGAGTCGGTGTATAATGAGTCACGCCAAGAGTGAAGCCAAGTCTACCTATTGAACTGTCAAACCGGCTACCTATCGTGCAAAGTAAATAAACATTACGATGCTATGAAAGGTCCACGAAAGGTATTGCAATAAAATATAAAATATAATCGAAGAAATGAGCATAAACACGCAGTGAGCGTTAAATTGTCATGGGATACGCTCGGTAATGATTAGCAATGAGAATTTCTACTATTTTTTGTTAAGATAATTTGACAAAATCACTGATATAATGATTTACTACAGCCGCAATATTTTTTCTCTCGCTTGAAGTCATTTGAAGTTGTTGTAGAAGTCCTCTGTTGCCAAGTGAAAAGAATGGGAATCTTTCGAAAACCGTGATGCGAGTTCAACTGTTTTTCTCTTGGCGTGACTCATTATACACCGACTCTAGTTTGTACTTGTCAGAAACAAGAATAGGTTGGAATGTATGTGTTTGACATATACAACCGGCCAATTTCACTTTCAGTGCGTCACAATCAGCGAATTTATGATTCGTGAGCGCTCACGAATCGTAAAATCGCTAGTTGTGACGCAATGGCAGGTTTGATGTGCCAAACACCTAGTTTGCAGCCTTTTCTTGTAAATAACAAGTACTAATTATCATTATAATATCTAATGATGTCATAATTCCGAAAAACATTTTTTTTATAGCAAGTGAGTGGAAGCAACCCTATTGAGGAGTATCGAGCGTTGCTAAAAATCAAAGCTGGGAGCTCACCGATTTGCCAGAGGGAAAGAAAGCAGTCCGCTGCAAATGGGTGTTCAAGATTAAGACGAACCCCGACGGATCCACAGAGCGCTACAAAGCCCGCTTGGTAATCAAGGGCATCGATTACGAGGAGACTTAAGGCCGGCGCACAATAGATACGTTTTCGGGTTTTTTGACAGATAATGCATGGGCTAGCTGTCAAAAAACCCGAAAACGTATCTATTGTGCGCCGGCCTTTACTCACCCGTGGTCCGGTATGCTACCATCCGGTACTTGATGTCGTTAGCTACCAGAATGGATCTCAAGATACATCAGATGGATGCAGTCTCAGCATTTCTGCAAGGTGAACTGGAAAGAGGATGGAGCATCCGGAAAAATTTATCACCAACGGAAGCCCGAAGAAGGTTTGCAAGCTAAAGAAAGCGCTGTACGGACTGAAACAAGCCAGTAGAGTATGGAACCAGAAGCTGGATGGTGAACTCAAGCGCTTTGGACTCACGCGACCGAAGGTTGACACGTGTGTCTATTTCACTTGGCTAGGCTTCAGAATCGTCCAGTGGGCAGTGCGCTCTACACTCCAAGCTCCCTTTCTTTCAAACTCACCCCAAATTTGATGTTTTACGCTTTTCAGTGTTGATTAATCACAATGAAACATTGTGACAGAGCACGGACTTGAGGTTACTAGAGTATTAAATAATTTAGGTCCTATTTAGGATTATATCTGAAAAATCCAAATCTGGCCAACGCCCATCACAACAATCATCATTATAATGGGAAATTAGACAATGAGATGTTCTAAGTTTTTCAGGTATGCGTACGTCAAGCCTTGCTTTGACTTGAACTTAACATCGCAAAAATCCAGATCCAGTTCTTTCACTAAGTGGCCAATCTCGTGTTCCAACTAGCGAAATGGAAGTAAAACGCATTCTTAACTTCAAAACTCATCACTAAATTGTTGACACATACATACGTCCTGCTGCTACCTAAGATGTTGAAGCCACTGCAATGGAATAGTTCGGATCAAGAACAAATTAACCGTATTTTTTTACTAGCATTGTATTTACGATACCTAATATGCATGTAAATGTATAATATACTGTATATTCATCCTCATCATCATTGTGTTTTACAACAGAAAAAAACAAAAAATCGCGCATCCATCTGCCCCCTAGTATTGTTTTTTTTTTGTTCATACTCATTGTGTATTTTTTGCGTTGCACAAAAACAAACAAAATAATACAGTATAGTTAAACCTCTAAGCAGTGCAGTTTCTCATACGTACGTTCGCTTTGTAATTTTGTTTGTTTACTTCGTAATAGTTCCTTCCTCTATCAGTAACACATCCTGACTATAAATATTGTTTCGTAACCAATTAAACTGATTTTTTTCTGTTTTCTTCTATTCAGCCCCGCCCGCGTCCGTCTATTTTTATTAGTTAGGTGTCGCTTTAAACTAGAGCTTAGTGTTTTTTTAGTAGTTTCAAAGTGTTTTATCATGTGGCACCGATTGTTCTTCGGTGCAATTCTACTTCTATATCTAACCTACGGTTAGGAAAGTTGAGTGAGAAAAAAAATGGTAAAACCAGTATTTTGATTTTCTTTGCTTTTGCATTTTAAGGAGGTTTAAACACTAACTGTTCGCTGATGTTTGCAGATCGATGAATTCTAAAACTGTTCTTCTTCTAGTAGTCGGTAGTTTCCTATTTCGAAACAATTGGCTTGAAATCAATTCTCTTCTGCTAGAAAATAAGTAGGTAAGCACAAAAAAGACGACATAAGTTGCTGTTCTGCGCAGTTGCTTGCTAGTAGCTTCCCCTTAACGGCGTTCGCATTCACTCAAAAATTCTTCCAAAAGTTCGACCAAAAACCAAAACGATGCAGCTAAGTTTTGTTTTAGCGGTTTTGTGTCTTATGTTTTTTCCTATCATGTGGCTCAAAAATATTTACATCCGAATTACATTTATTTGTTTGATGTTTTGACTTGATTCCCAAAACAAAATCTAATGCATCACGTTGTTCTACAATTACAATCTGACAGGTTTTGTTCAAGAATTATGTTAATAGATTTAATTGAATGCTCGATTTTTCAACTAGCAGTGCGGGCAAAAAGAGGAACAACGGTTCGCGTCCGGAATCTATATAGGATATCTCATTGTTTATTCTACATCAGTACCACAGACATGGGATCAGTTTTGTATAGATAGGTATATGAATAATAGTTTAGTACAAAATAAAAATACCGTAAAAAGTATCTCTCGTTTACAGTAACATACACAACGTATGGGTAGAAATAAGCTAAAAATCCCAGTAAAATGACTACAACCTTGGTTTTCTGTTCCAATTACTGCCTCTGGCCTGCTTAACAACAACCCCCGAACAAAGGTGTCGACTTCCGTCACTGCAACCACTATCAGTGCTAACAGTATTGCTATGATTGTTGATCAACTGACCTGCCAACGATCTACGCCGTGCGTACGAAAGTTGGTGCTGCTGCTGATGAACGACGGGGCCACCCGTACCTTTGCGCAGTTGCTCGCGATTTCCCTGGTGTTGGTGGTGATGAAGGTGATGTGCTGCCGGAACAATCCCCGGCAACGAGGCACCACTCTTCCGTTGATACTAGGTGGCGCTGTGAGCGGAAGTGGAGATTCCAAACACCGGGCTAATGCGCAGGAACACCCGCCGCAGGACGGTGCGCAGTTCCGGCTTCAGGTCGAAGCACATCAGGTCGCACATCAAGACGTAGTAGCTGGAAATGTGCGCTGCGAACTGCAAATGGAAGAAAATAGTCAACGGATTATAGCGAAAAGGTTCTACAACTTTTCCCAACAACTCACCCTCGAGTCCGGCATCTTGAGCAATCGGGTCATCACCAGCAGCAACAGCGACGTCCACGCGTCCCGATGCGGTTCGCTTTGTAGCGATAGGAAATAGTCCAACGCTTCCGTGCACACGACAATCAACCTCTGTTCGATGTCCTGCCAATCCCGCCGTCGACTTTCGTCACTGTACATCTTGAACAGAATTCGCAGCACACACGCCAAGGATTGCGTTTCCTGCTTCAGCAAATTCGGCTTCAACGAACCTTTGAAGCCAGCCTTCCAGAGCACGTTGCGCTGTTCGTGGTTCGAGTTGAACTTCTTCGCAAACCGATGGCTCTGCAGGAGACAATCGATCAGCTGGAGAAGGTGAGGCGTGTTCAGGTAACTGTACATGCCCTGTTCCTCTCGTTGGCACTCCTCGGTCGAAAACGAATGATTTAGGACGGATCCGGTGGCGAAACTTACGCTACCGCTACCAGTCGAATGAGACAGTTCGGCGGCCGCTTGGGCAAGTGTTTCGGCATCTTCCTTGCGGGAGGTCGCCGGGAAGAAGATGATGTTATCGATGGTTTGGATCAGTTCCAGCTGGACGACACACTTGATCAGGAGGTTGGAAAATAGGGTAGCGGTATGGTTGAGTTCGGTTGATTTCATGGACGGGTCTTCCATGGGATTATGAACAGAGTGCTGTGAAGGACTTCGCTTGAGAATGCCGTGCCGTGGGAGGTCGCCATTTTGCGGATAATGTGCAATGTGATTGATGAGCTGAGGATGCGGATCCGGTTTCCAAGTAAGCAGTTCATTCGGTAGGGTACTGTTGAAAATGTCCAGCATGCATTGGCAAGTTTTGTCCCATGTATCCTCATTGAACTTGAGGCCATTCGATATGACAAGATTCTCTAAGCAATTGGTTCCGGAACGGGCGAGCTGTTCGTTGTTCTGCTGAACACACCAGTGGAGCTGACAGTACAGATCCTTCAACAGCATCGGTCCAAGAATGTCGAAATACTGGGTAAACACGTCTACAATTGCGTACAGAGCATGATTGCAGGTCGTCGTCATCCATTCGGCCTTTTCCGAGTGGTGCTCGGGGAGTTTCATGTTATCGAAAATCCGGAATAGAATGTTAAACAAATCACGCCACCAGTTGGGCTTGTAGGCATCACCGTGCGTTTTGACTATCTCGAAAAGAACTGTCAAACCGCGGGTCCGAACGTCAAGTTTGCATCGATTCACCACGCAGGACAGCGAGAACAGCATCGGGAACCATCCACGGACCCAAACTCGATCTTCCTCGGGAACGGACACGTCATTCTCCATACCGGCATGCTCTGCAAACAGATTCGGAGCATCATTCACGCATAGGGCACACGTCCGGACTAGTCTTATTGCTTCCATGCTGGTGTCCGGGAACTTAGCATTACAGGCAAACTCGGACAAACACTTTACTGCATCCTGGAATGAATCGATCATGATCGAGAACTGCGATTGGTACAAATCTGTAATAATTTTCCCCGTCGTCAGGAACGCCAACTCCACGATCGAGCCGTCATGATCACCGGCTGCCAGATGAAACACGGAGAAGATATTCTTCCAACCGGATTTTATATTATGAGCCTGGGAGTTGACCATCTGAGCCACGCACCGTACGACCATGTCCCGTATCGCGGGTGAATTGTTCTTCTTCATAATATGCTCGAACGGTCGCAAAAAGTCCTTCTGGAAGCGGAAATTGGTGAATTCTCCTTTCTCGATAAACTTCATCGATAGCTGCCTGAGGGAATCCAGTGCGAAAAATGCAATCTCCTCGTTGCTATTGCACCCGACGGCATTGAAATGTTCGCCAAGAATCTGCCAAATTCGGGACCACTGCAGACGGATACGTCCCATGTTGTAGTAGGAAATTTCGACAATCTTCTGCAGCGAGAACATCCGAGGCTGTGGCCGAGTCAACTCGTCCAACGAAACTTGGCACAGTGCTTTGACAAAGTCCACGATGGCATCACCATCGAGCCGGATCGATCCAGTGAAAATTCGATCCACGGCAACCACAATACTTTGAGAACTTGTTTCACCAATGTGCTCCTTAGCCGATGGATCCAAAGCGTCGCGATGCGATGCGGGACCCGACAGGAACTCCGGTCGAACACCCGTGCCTATCAACTGAGCCAACTCTAGGTGGGAAATACATTTTACGATGTCTAACCAGCTAGATCCGAGATAGTTTCCATCCGTATGAGCTACCATGATGAGCGTCTTAATCGTATCAATATTCTTGGCCTTCATCTCATTGATGGGTGAATTGGCCGTCAATAGAGTGAACCGAGCCAAAGCTTGCACGTAGGCGTCTCTTTCGAGCGTCATCTGGAAAATGCAAGCAATCCGGACAGCACACCGAATTCCATCCAGACAGAGACTAGCAATTTCCGGATCATCACAATCCTGCAGTCCAACGGAAAACGCCGCCAGGAACGAGGTCCAGGCCATTTTGAACATTGGTCTGACGTGTTCCAGATGTTTTGCCGACGTGAATGAAGCTTTCACATGCGACACGGACTCCATCAGATTCTTTGCCGTCGTCGAGAGTGCTTCCATTTCAACATTCCACAAAAGCTTCCGCTTCTTCTCGTTCACAATGATCTGCTTGCCCGGTTTGCTCGCCACTGTATTCTTCATCTTAATCTCGTGACCAGCTATTTCGTCGTAGATCTGCGAGAGATACTCCTCCGGTAGGTCCTTGTTATCACTGATCCCCCGGTTCATCTTGATGTACTGCTCCTTCGTCATCTTGTGTTTCACCTGCGGAGAATGCAGATCCGTAGTCAACATGATGACCGAGAACGCCAACACGTAAACCGTATCAGCCGAAGCAAACAGCGTATTATTCGGGTTGCAATCGCAATATCTGCTGGCAAACTTCTCCATCAATCGATCGATTTTTTGCGCTTCACCCGGAAGTCGAAAACCTTCCAAAAAGTACCTCAAAGCGGCCACTATGTCCAATTCGGCAAAGTTCATAGCATCAATATAGGCGCACATCACAGCTTTGCTTTGATCGTCATTCTCACCCAGATAGTCCCCAACATGCGTCTTGTCCAGTCGTTCGTCTTCGTGTAACCACTTTGCCACATCCTCATTACTGGTCCCGAGCAGCCCTCTCTCCTGCAGAAACTGGATACCCTTTTTCGGTTTCCTATTGAACATATCGATTCCCATCTCCATCACTTCCTTCCGCTGTTTTCGCTCTTCCAGCTCATACGGCAGATCAAGAACTTCCCGGTTACCACCGGACGTATTCGTACTTCCAACCGAGTTGATGCTCACAGTCGATCCCCCGTGAGACTTCATCGGTTCTTGAGTTTCGTCTGGGCTCTTCGCACTGGCCACGGTTGGCGGTGGCGGATCTCCCAAGGTCGTTTGCGAATTGGGATTCACATACAGATCCTTACTCCACTCGACCATACACTTCAGAATTGACACCAAACACTCCAGCCCTCGAATGCGCATTGATTTCTCCTGATTCACCGAAGTTCCCAGCTCCAACGCTTGCCTTCCTTGAGCAATCTTGGAAAGATCGTTAACCAATCGCTCGAACAGATTTGCAGCCGAGAAATCGCAATCATAATTCACGTAGATATCCACGACGCTTTGAGCATCGGCACAGATCCGTGTCAATGCCTGTATTACCATCCATTTATGCTCGAACGAGGAGCTGGTAGCTTCCAAAATGTTGAGGAATATTTCCTTAAAGAAAACCTCTATCTGTTTCTTCAAGTGAATCTTAAAGTTGGAAAGTAAAGCAACAAAGATCGACAGTGATAGCTCGAAGACCTCCGGAACGGAACTTCCGCCGTTCTTGGACAGCGCTACGCACAAGTACTGCTTGATGGCCATGATGAACATCTCGTTCGAACGGAAGACCGGTCCCGCATTCTGCAGAATCGATAGCAGCAGATGCAGCGACAGAATCTTTGATCTTAGTTCGTGGGATTTCGGATCCGGGTGTCCCTCCGGAAGCGGTTTCATCGAAAGTTTACACAAAGCTCTAAATACCAAAAATGCATCCTTCTGAAGAATGTGAGTGAACTTTGCCGTAACGATACTATCGTTCTCGCTGGTTACTTCCATGCTTTCCTGCGAAGGGACTCGTGCGATCGAAGTGTTATCCGTTCCGTTGTTGGACACGCCACCGATGCTTCCCGTCTCGGCATCCCCTCCCTCGGAAGCCGTGGAGGCATTCTTCGAGTTCTCTTCAACAGCTGCCGCCGCAGCTGCCATGACGTTATCCACAATTTCATCCACTATTCCGCGTACCATGTCGTAATCGGGATGTTTCTCCTCTGCCGCCCCCTGAGCTTCCTCGTGTCCGGCATTCGGCGACCCGACAGCTGCCGCCACCGCACTCGAACCCATCTCGTAAGCCTGATTTTCCATTCGAGTAAAAATCACATTCAACATCTGCGTCAGCGTAGCTCGCGCCGTAGTCTGATTGATCAGATTCTTACTGGACAGGTAGATGTCGTAACAGGTGCGCACTCCCTGCAGAACCGTCCCTTCGTGCACCTCAACGTACTGCGAAGTGACCACCGTCAGCAGGGCCTTGATGATCTGCAGCTGAACGCCCTCGTCCGTCTGGGGTCCCATGAAGCAATTGCAGATGGTCGTGACAATCCGGTCGATCAGAAACTTGCCCGGATTGGATGAGTCCGGAATGTTTCCGGTCAGGTGTCCGTAGGCGATCAGCTTCTGCAGACAGTCCAGGGCCGTAACGACGATCCGAGGAGTTTTGCTCTGGCAGGCCAACTCGAACGGTAGGAAGTACTTTTCGGCATTGATGATGTTGGCCGAATCGTTCTTGGGCAGCGGCAGAGCCGCTGACGGAACCGGAACCTCTCCATTCGGCTCACTTTGGCCGGCTTCCTTGAGCTCTTCCTTGATGTCCTCTGAAATATGGGAAAAGAAGAAGGAGAAATTAGTTATATGTGGTGTGTCTTTGGTTTAATGTGAATTTGATTCAATCAAAGTGGTTTTGCTACTTCATATGTGAAGTTTACGATTTTCAAAGTTGGGAAGAATCGGTATACGGGGGGCGACCCCGGCGTAGTGGTTAACATCCTCTCACGCCAAAGTCACGAGTTCAAATCTCACCCCCGGACAAGTCACGAATGACCCAAGAGTGTTAAAGTAACTATTAAAAAAAAAATCGGTATACTAATATCGACATGAAGCTTCAGTACGATAATTTATTAGCAATAGAAAGTTCTTAAGGGGATAGATTGATAGTTCCACTAGAGTACGGCAGTGTGAAAATTGAAAAGAAGTTGAAATTGAGCGAAGGGCCATTAGGCAGTGATAAAACGTCGCTAGAACTATTTCACAGCCGCAGACAGTATATGAGCAGGTCAAACGCGCACTCTTTGCCTGTGGATTTGAGGAAATACCTCAAAACCCTTCATCCATCAAGTGAGCTAGATAAAGGAGTGCGCGTTTGACTAGTATTGTCGCATTTATGGCCCTTCGCTCAATTTGAACTTCTATTTAATTTTCGCACTGCCATACTCTGACGGAACTATCAATCTATCCTCTTTAGAAATTTCTCTAGTAAATAAATTTTCGCACTAAAATGTCATGTTCATATTAGTGTGCATTTGATCTTATTCCGTCCTCTGTAATGTGAAAGAAAAAGAAGAAGGGGCAAAATGTCCGGGTGCGACCAGTGTAACCATCTTCTTTTGCGTTTACATCCAAGCTGATAGCCTCGGACATGGTATGTCGGGAAGAACCGAAATAAAACTTGTTTTGCCGAGATTTGCACAGCCGAACTCGGTAGAAAAAACTAAGTGTATAAGACTGATTTCATACCAATTCGACTAAAGGTTGGCATAAGCCTCTCAGATTCCAAATTATACTAATGGAGTGTTACGACTTAATTGTTTCTTTGTATGTGTGAGGTTTTATTCGGCAATTAAAGCAATTTCGCCCTTTTGAAATGTTGACACCAATATGTGCAGAGCTTCATTCAAATCTGAAAGGGTCGGGACAAAAATGGTTTTGTTTTTGCCATTTTGAGCTGGAAATGCTTAATTTTCCTTTGGATTTCTAACAGCTGACATTTCAAAGTTACGTGCTTTTATATATTCCAAAATCAGGATGACATAAGATGATACAGATGGGGTAGTGTAAGAACGACCAAAAGCAGGGCTCTCTCAGATCAAAACTCATTCAGTATTTGAGGGAGGTTTTCGTTCAGTTTAGGTGTAATGCAATGCCAAATTAGAAATGCAAATAAACTGCTATCTAACTTAAATCTACAAATATGTTTTATGGGAACCAAAAGATTGGCATTCAATGTAATTTCCGAAGGGGACCATCCATTATACGTTACGGGATAATCCATTATACGTTTCATTTAACAGCTTTAAATAAAATTTACTCAATACTTCAGATTTTTTTTTTGTTGATAAATTCGATTCATATTAAATAATAAGACGTCCTTGTCGATATCTTCCGATTTCATCCACTATTCATCGATAATCTTGAAATTATTTTTTCTGTTTACTCTAATAAGTTTTAGTGTGTTTATGTTTCTGTCACTTTCTTGATCGCGAAGAAGAAAATCTCAGATCGAGCTGAATTATTTTAGGCTTTTACACCGGACCAACAACAATAACAACCGCCCTCACCTGCCAACAATTACCTGCCTATTTCAATCCTGAGACGAGCTATTTCCTACACCATGCACGTTTGGGGCCATATTTGATCAGCGATATCGGTATCACTAATGCATGCACGCCAGTACACTCTATTATTCAACAATAACGATACTATGGTCACCACAATTGGGTTTGTGACTTCCAAGCTGTGCGATGTTGATTAATGACTGTATTTGTGTTGAAACACCGATTTGGAGAGATTGAGCCACTACTACGGAGAAAGGAGTAAACAACCACGACCACTTATCTATCCCTTCACTTATATATGACTCGGATTTGCCTTTTGAAATTGGAGGTAGAACGGGTACAAAAATATCCTAGCATCTCGGAGGCAGGTTTTCTGGAAGCTAAAACGGGTAACGGCAGTTATATTAAACACACCAAGGTTCGGATGGTCCAATAAATGTTGTCGTCATGGGTGATGACAACAATCAACTCCCAACCATCGATCACATTGCCACGGGCTCATTAATCACTTTCCAAGGGTAACCAATTTGCTGTGGACAACAATAAATCTTCCAAAGGGTATGGAATGATTCCACGGGCGGAATCAAACGGTTGGATTGGAACTATTTCCACCTTCAATCTGGATCATAGGTTGGAATACTACGGAGCAACTCCAAGTACTGGCAGGGTCAGTGCTCACCAAATACCAAATGGTTGGAATACTATTCGGTAAACGAACGATGACGTTATCCACGACTACACTTAATCAGGGATTTTGTAGTAGCTCGGCGTCTTCCACGGAAATGAGTATCGTCAAGGGGGCGATTTACGATAATGGAAATCAATCCCAGCAAATATACATCTCAACACACTTTACGTAGCCTCCAAGTAAGAGAGAATAACCAGCATTCTCCACACGGTAACTGCAACAAACTCACACTACGGATGTACTACGGTGGGTGAGCACAACTAGCACACCAATCTTTGAGGAAAATGAAGCCAAAAGCCATATTACCAATGCCACAGGCTCAGAATCCAGTACTCGAGATGTGTATTGGAGTTACCATGAGACGGTTCCATGTTTTGTGCTCCATGTAAACAAACGCACGAAGCAGACGTTCGCTTGCCTACGCAAGGTTGCAGATTACGATCATTACTGGCTTTCTGTAAGCTGGAGTGACTACTACAAATGCTACAGATATGTTCACACACAACCGGCACAGGGAGTGTCAAGGAGTCGGATGCTAGGGGTATTTAACAATCCAGGAAGGGATTTGAATGTAAAGGATTTTCAACTCGACCAATTCGGATACCAGGGGTATTCGAAGGATTCCAGTCAGTTTCCATGGACGGAGACTGAGGCACGACGTTGGAAAATCCACGTAATTTTATCGTCAACTCTAGTGTGTCTCCCAACTTCAACAATTCGGTCTGGAAATGGGTCAATGGAACTCATCCGTTGTTAGGATCAACAGACTAATCAATTCCAATTGAAATCACTTGCTGCTGCACTGGACAAGAAATAGTCGGATGAACATCTCTTATCACTTTATCGGCAGTCAACAACTACTATTTGATGAGAACTATTTTCGATCAGGTCAGTTAGAACAATTGTATATGTTCGGCCGAAGCCCGGACGATGCAGATACTGCACTAATTCAAATTTCCTCTCCAACACCTACACTCCCATCTGAGGTGATCAACACAAGGAATCATGAGAACCGAATAATTCGCTGGCTTCATCGATGGATTCAAAATTTGGCAATCGGAAATCATTTACACCACAATACGCATTGAAAATCTCTCCGTTCTAGTTGTTTACAACAACCTGCTCCGACAGGTAATGACAATTTGTATATGTCCGGCCGAAGCCAGGCATATTCGTATACTACACCGTCCAGATGGCAGCCGATCAGCTACTGAAAACATGTTCGGAAAAAGATCCAGCAGATGCGCATATCAGTACCCTAGTATTGAATTCCAACGTCTTCAAGGACAGAACTAGAATTCAAACCCGGGCGGCTGATTGTCGCTGACTTGTGACTGAACTCTCTTTTCCACTCCAAATGGAATCCGGCTAAAATACTCGTCTCCTCCCCCCTCTGTCTCTGGTCCATGATCACCGTCTCAATATCTAACCCACAGACTCCAATTTTACTGGTTGAATATCAGCGATAACACCTCGCAAATCCCCCTAACCACTCCCGGTTGGCAACCCATCAGCAGCAGAAATTTAAATGATGATGATGATGGTCCCACCTCTTACCCCTACAAAGGTTTGACCTGGACGATTTATCTTTAAGATAATTAAATATGACATTTTAACCAGGTTGGCAAACAAAATCGAACTGGTTTCAGTTGCAGATATAAATTCCCTCTAGAGTTTACAGTTGCTTCACAGCGATTTAAATGTGGAAAAGCTCAGGCGTCCACCTCTTAGTTCGCCTTTTTGTCCACCTAAAATATACATAAGTATTAAAAGCGATCAAGAGTTAATGAGCAATCAACAAAGCATCCTATTACACTAGCAACCCTGCAATCTGATGCTATCATAATTTTCAGCAATTTCAGGAATGCTCACGAACCCCTAGCATTTGCCAGAAAACTTACTACTAACTCAAGGTATCTTCCAAATAAGCTTCAAAATTGCATTTTTTTTATGAAATATTAAATTCAGTCCTCTGTATCCGTAATAAAGGGTGATACGGTCAAAATTTGGTCAATATCAACTTGACGTATTTCTTTCAATTTTGCATTTAAAAAACCTGAACACCCCTGTGTGTGTGTAGAATGTTGCTCCTATTTTGATTTTGGAATTCACTCTTCAGTTGTCAAAATGCCGTCCAAGCAAGAAGAGCAGCGCATCAAAATTTTGCTCGAAATCCGAGCTACTCGCACGCAAAGTTGGCAAAATCGCTAAAAGTTGCCAAATCAACCGTTACAAATGTAATTAAAGTGTTTGGGGAACGTTTGTCGACAGCCAGGAAGTCTGGATCGGGGGGAAATCGAAAACCGGAAGCCGCTGAGACGACAAAGAGAGTTGCCGGTAGTTTCAAGCGAAACCCTAACCTCTCTCTCCGAGATGCCGCAAATAAGCTGGGTGTATCGTCTATAACCGTGCATCGAGCCAAAAAACGAGCTGGACTATCGACTTACAAGAAGGTAGTGACTCCAAATCGCGATGATAAACAAAATACGACGGCCAACCCGAGCAAAGCTGGAGATCAAATTGAAATCAAAATTTCCTGTTATGATGTAACTAATTTCGAATACTCCAGTTGATC